TCTCCTCCTTGGGGGACGCATTTTCTTCTCCTTAAGCAGACACGTCAATTGTGCACTGGCTGGGCATGCAGGCAGCAAGGTCGCCTGGGGGGTAGGGCTGCTCTCACTGTTAAATGCCTTGTGCTTATTCCCGTCTTGTTTGTCTAGCGTCAGCTTCCCCGTTGGGTCTTGTGATGCTTTTGTGTGCTAGACTGAAGGCTCCGCTGCTCTCCATCACTAGGAACGTTCAGTTCCAGCTTGCATGTTTTTCTGGACTCTGCTCTAGTTCTAACACAAGTTAATTCCCAGATGTCTTATGATCTGTTTACAGGGCAGGCGGGGTGATCACGGTGGGCCCTTTAGGCTTTGTGACCTATGACCAGTCCTTGCTATCAGCAACGGTTTTATTATAGCTGGGGTCAGCTTTTCTGAACCGGCTTTTTTTCTGCTGAAAGGCAGCAGCAAACACTAGGCTCTTGCCATAAGGTGGAAGTTGTGTGCTATTTAAATACTGACTAGGTTAAAACTGCACGATGCTCAATACACACTGTGTTTTCCGAGGGCATTCACCAACAGGAGGGATTTGGGGTTGGTTTCTGAGTTGGGGATGTGCGTTAATACCAACTTGCCAAACTTGGCTCCATAACGGAATATGGCTTTAAGGCCTGTCCTTTGGCTAAGAGACCCAGATCACAGTGCAAGTCAGCAGCAGAGCTAGGAAGCTCCATTTCTAGTTTGGTACCTTCAGGAAAGGGGTCCCTCTACCTCTCTGGTCTAGTTTTAGCAGTGGGGACAGGGCTGGGATTTCCAGCACCCTCCCCCCACCTCGCCTGTCATGGGAATGAAGGTTTGCTGATAGCGCGCCAAGTTGTAGCCCACAGAAGGCAAGAATGCTTTCCGTCTCCAGCTCCTCTGCTTTTCAGAGCAAGCAGATTAATTCACAAAGTACAGCATTGGATTTTTTTCCCAAAATATTTTATTTCCAGAGACTGAACTTCAATTTCGAGTACAATTTTCCATTCCTGTGCCCTTTCCTCAGATCAAGCAAATGCAAGGGGGAGAAATATATTTCACTACAATGATCAATAAAAAATAAATATTATAAAACTCCTGGACATCAAGACTTCATGTCATATCTTAAAAGAGCTGCCACCGATGATTTTATATGCCACCACAGATTTGATCACTAGAGGTGAACTGAGATGGGTCTGGCCCCACGGTGTTCATGTGGGGCTGAAGAGAACTCTCTTTAAAATATATTCAGGACTTCAACAATAAAAACCCACACCACAATTACTGCCTTACAATAAATTACTATGTACACTTGTGATACATCTGCCAATTGAGTGTTCTCGTGTTCACATTTCAATGTCCAGAACCAAGCAGCTTCACACCAGTCTCGCCACCATGGCTACGACTGAGCCAGCGTCCAATTTGCCACGTGACTTTGCTCTCTCTCAACTCCATTAGCTGGGCCCACAAAAGGTGCCATCAAACCTTTTGGGAAGAGGCAGGGCAGCCTTGGAGTGAGGCTGCGCCTGATGGGAATGCTGCTGCCGGTTTGGGGTGTGTTGTGCGAAGGGCCCACACCTGGCTCCTCTCTAGAGAGCTGAAGGCCTTGTAATGGAGCCATCCTTCTGGCTGCACAGGTTGCATCAATGCCACTGCCACTCAGTCAGCCACAGAGGCTATGCCTGAGCATACACCCCCTGCAGGGACCATGAGCATCCACAGTGCAAGAGAGATGAGGAACCCTACAAGGCACTTCTGAGCACAGCTAGGAAGCCACTGGCAGGCCCACCCCCTGCAGGGACCATGAGCATCCACAGTGCAAGAGAGATGAGGAACCCTACAAGGCACTTCTGAGCACAGCTAGGAAGCCACTGGCTAGCCTGGCTCGTTTTATCCCCCCTCTAGCCAGCAGGACCAAGTGTAGAACTTTCTAACTATGCTGACACATTCAGAACTAAACAAGCAAGTGCGCCTCTGCTTTGATCCAGGAGCCACTGCGTTAGCTATCCCAGGCCACCGGCGAAAGCCAGGGCTGCCCTGCTGCTGACTCGTCTCATTGAGACTCCAACCACTGGCTAGCCTGGCTCGTTTTATCCCCCCTCTAGCCAGCAGGACCAAGTGTAGAACTTTCTAACTATGCTGACACATTCAGAACTAAACAAGCAAGTGCGCCTCTGCTTTGATCCAGGAGCCACTGCGTTAGCTATCCCAGGCCACCGGCGAAAGCCAGGGCTGCCCTGCTGCTGACTCGTCTCATTGAGACTCCAACACAAAGGAGCGGGAATCCAGGTTTGACACTGAAAGCCGAGCACCTGCAGTTCCCAGCGAAGGTGGCTGCATCTCCCAGAAGGCGTTCAGAGCCTCGCAGGGTCAGGTCAATAGAGCAGGCATTTCAAACTGCAGGACATGCTGCAGCCATTCTCATTAGCCGTGGGAATCCTGTGCAGACCCAGCTCCTGATCACAACTCTAGAGCAGGTAGGAGACGGAGTCTAGGTGCCCGCCTGCCCTGCATCCCTGTTCCCAGACAGCTCAAGTGAGACTACCCCGACCTTTACAAAAACATGCACGTGTCAAAGGGAGAAGGGGGCAGGTTAGCTATTTTCTAGTGCACGCGCAGACTGGTGTCCTAATTAGTGCTCCAATGTCAAAAACTAGTTAATCCTATGGATATTCTAATTAATTTTCTTTACGGGACTGATTCGTGGATCATAACTTGTAAGCTGAGGCCATAACTTGAACTGTGAGGGCCAGAGCCACACGACTTACACGGATGTTACTCGGATTTCCGCAGCGTTACTCCAAACTGACACCACAGCAAAGAGATCAGAACCAGGTGTCAAGTGCCTCCAAACGTGTGTCTGTTTTGCAGTGGCTGCTCCAGCATGTAACTGTTTGGCTATGCCAATGGGACTTTAGGCTATGCCCAGATCCACGCAGGCCCGATCTCCCTGGCATTCCCTGGGAGTGACGTTTTGAGCCTCAGACTTGTATCCCACAGGGAGGGTCTAAGTTATGTCCAAGGAGAGGTTTTTGCATTGCCAGGGTGACCCACTATTGGGTAAAGTTCCTGTACAGGGGGGAGGGGAGGGCACAAATTCCTACATTAGTGGGAACAACTCCAGTAAAGGCAATAAGCTGCACCCTGGGCTATGTTCAGACCTGGTGCAACTCCACAGACTTCAGTGCAGTCACACCAGGCCCCCGAACACCTCAGCGGTTGTCCTTTATCCCATGGTCTGCAAGGGGCTTTGTAGTGAGAGAGTTATAATGTTCCTTCCTTCAGCACAGGCTTCTCAGAAATGGGCAGAGGGATTTGGGGTTGGTCTGTCACTTGGCTGGTTCTTCGCTTCATGCACAAGACGAACCCACTAGCGCGATTATGTCTGTGTGGGTATGCCTAAAATACATCCCCTGTGTCGAAAGAGGGATGCAAATTAGGCAAATCGAAAGTGCAAATGAAGCGGGGATTTAAATATCCCATGCTTCATTTGCATAATGGCATCCGGGCGCTTTTTCAAAAAAGGGTTTTTCGAAAGCGAAAGCGCAGTCTAGACGCAGTTCTTTCTAAAAATACCCCTTTTTCAAAAGATCCCATGCTCCTCAAAAAAACGAGGAGTACGGGATCGTTCGAAAAAGGGCTCTCGCACGATTACGCAAATAAAGCGTGGGATATTTAAATCCCCACTTCATTTGCACTTTCGATCTGTCTAATTTACATCCCTCTTTCGAAAGAGGGATGTAGTCTAGACATAGCCTGTGAGTCTTAGAGGAGTTGGTGGGTACAATTTACAATACCCAGCTCTCTCATTTCCTAATGATCTAAAATAGTAAATTACCTGATATTCACTACTCTACACTTTCGGTGCACCTCTGCTTTCTCAGCCTAGCACCAATGAGATGCCAGGACCCTTGGAACAGGGTAAAAGCCCTCCAGGGAGAGTATCTGCAGAACATATAGGACTATACATCCCAATGTCAGCTGACATAGTTCCATTAATCACTGGCTCTTCTAAACACACATTTCTTAGCTCTGCCCTACAAGGGATGTGGTAAGTTTTAACCATTCATGCAAATGCAAACACTGGTGCTCAGAAGGTGTGAGAGCAGTTTCAAATTGCCCTCAGTGCTCTACTGGAAAAAAGTCAGTCGTTCTGCTCTCTTGGATCTTACAAATACACCCCCCATTTAAATAGAACGACTCTAGTTTTATGCCAAAACGATGGGCCACCGGATTATTTCATAAGCTTCACAGCCTGCTTCAGTACAATATTCTAACAGCTGATTCATCAACGTTTTGTTGTGTTTGTATCTAGACAATTCTGCACCCCTAGCGGAATGCATACGAAGCAAGCTGAACTTCAAATAGAAATCAATACAGGTGCCTCGACATTGAATTAAAATCTTAGAATCTGTTTGACCCACCTCGGGGGTCCCATGTAAAAAGGTTCAGCACCACAGGCTCCGGGAGCTAAGCAGCAGTTTTCAAATCAACATCTCAGTGCTTCTGATACTGATCTCAGCCATCCTGCAGCTCTTCCAGAGCCACAGCCAAGCCTGGCCCCACAGGGTCCTCGGAAGAACCCCCCATGGCGGGTGTTTGCTGCCCTACTCTCTAGAAGAAGCAAATACCATTGTAAGTTCATGATTTTAAGCATAATAAAAATCTGAAAATGAATTTCTCATCTTAAACCCATCCAGTGGTTTTGTAAGGAATATGTACATTCACATCCGCATCAAACCCTCCCGACAGCTTGGAGAGTTTAAATGACATTTCCCTGTTAACAAGCGTTAAACTTCATGGTAGTGATGACGTGGTGCCAGAGAGCAGGCACTACAGGAACGCTCTGGACAGGCAGGGGGGCTGCAGGACCTGTGTTAAGACAGATACTTCCTACCACTCCAGTTTGAAAGTGTTATTTGATATGACAAGACAGCCCGTCGTTGTTACTTTCAAGTAGGGATGATAGCGGTGATGAAACCTTTAGTAAGGATTAGGCAACTCATGGGTGTTAACACAGGATAAGTCTTCATTTAAGTCACAGACGTTGCCTTTGGCAGGTTATCAGGGTGACACCCGAAGCTGTCATCACCTCCACAGTACTGAGCGTGCAGTTACACTTTGCTGCTCCACAAGGCAGCTGGGAAGAAGATGTACGTAGTAGACCAAACGAGATAGTAGAGAGAGACTATTGAATAGGAAGAGAACAAAACCATCAGGATACCTGCAAGAGGAAAGCAGCACAGAAAAGTGAGTCAGCTACAATTGCCAAGTGGAACAAATGTAAATCTGCATTTCACAGCCTTCCCCAAATTCCTGTGACTGAAAGATTTTCTAGCAGGGTTGAGCCTGAAAGATTCTTCTGCTCCCTGCTGGAAATAAGTCCATTTAAAAACACCAGACACAGGTTGCTGAGTATGATTTGCTCTTCTTTTACACCTTTCACAGCATGTAATCTGTAGCAAAAGGAGCCCCTGCCACCATGTATAATGGACTTCATGATCTTAAAAGAGAGGTATATAACCCCTGAAAGTGCAAGCTGCCAGAGATACTCTCCTATACAGAAGCAGAAAAACTCTAGCCTTCAAAGGGCAGTGCTAAAGTTTGTGATGCTAAACATGGAGAATTGCTCTTGCTAGAAGCTGATGTAATGCGAGTCCCGTCTCAGATCTCTGCTGTGCTGCCTACAGCTATGCCAAAGATTTAACATCTCAATCTTTTGTCCCTTGCCTTTTGGCAGCTGCCAGCCGCATGAACAACTTCTATGACCCCATTTCTATACGCACACAACTGCTGGCCCTCTGCAACTTCCTTGCCATGTCTATAAGTCTGACAAAATACTGTTCTGTCTGCTTTCGTGGCTCCATTGCTGAGTTCTATAAGCCAAGCCATGCCGCAAGCTATTGGTAGACCCCCTGGCTACATCTACACTGGCATGATTTTCCGGAAATGCTTCTAATGGAAAAGTTTTCCGTTAAAAGCATTTTCGGAAAAGCGCGTCTAGATTGGCAGGACACTTTTCCACAAAAGCACTTTTTGCGGAAAAGCGTCCATGGCCAATCTAGACGCGCTTTTCCGCAGAAAAGCCCCGATCGCCATTTTCGCGATCGGGGCTTTTTTGCGGAAAACAAATCTCAGCTGTCTACACTGGCCCTTTTGCACAAAAGTTTTTCAGAAAAAGACTTTTGCCCGAACGGGAGCAGCATAGTATTTCTGCAAAAGCACTGACAATCTTACATGAGATCGTCAGTGCTTTTGCGGAAATTCAAGTGGCCAGTGTAGACAGCTGGCAAGTTTTTCCGCAAAAGCAGATGATTTTGTGGAAAAACTTGCCAGTCGAGACACAGCCCCAGAGTTAATGTTGCAGGTGGAGATTTATTGAGGCAATTAACTGGATACGTTGGAGTAAATTTAATCTGTGCAAACAACTAGCAGAAATACAGCCCAGTTCTGCAGGCCTAATTCTCTTTTGTTCCCTTCTTTACTGGCCTTTCTCGGTGGAAAAACACTTTACAAATAGAGCCGACAAAATGACAATGTACAAAAGTATCTGTAAATGAAAAATGCAACTGTCCAGTAGGAGCTGCTGGGTGTTTTGCACCTTCCTCTGAAACATCTTGCACTGGCCATGCCCAGAGGTAGGGAACTGAGCTAGGTGACCATTGGTAGGGCCTGGCGTGACACTTTCTACCATTCTGAAACATGTACTTCCGTCAGGGGGCAGCAGGACCTAGCATAACAATGGAGGGTCAAGGACTGGTTCTATTTCTGGTCCAACCATGGCCCTGTGTGACCTTCTCTGCCTGTTTGCCCATCCCTGAAACCCGAGGCAATGCCCTTCCCCGCTGGGGAGTGCGTATTCACAATGCTTCGGGGGACAGACTCTGTGGACATCCCCCAGGATGAAGAACTTGGACCCTAGAGACATGATTTTAGGATTACAGCACAAAAAAGAACTTAAGCTTTTCATACAGCTCCCAAGAACCCCGGTTCACCTTTGTTTTCCTTTTCCGTCACTTGGGCGGAAGGACGAAGTCAGAGACATGACTAGACATCGAAGGGCAAGCACGAGGCCTTCCCCTGCGCTTGCAAAAGTGGCTGACCCTTTGTGTGAATTACCAGAAACAAAAGGGAGCTAAGATTTTGTGCTGCTTCCTTTTGACACTTACCCCCTACGTAGACCATCTTTTTCCAGGGCTGGGACTCCAGGACTTTGTCGTGGGGATAGAAACCCTGGTCAACCATGAATAGGATCATGACAATGGCTACAATCCGTAGAACCACCAAGTTGCCGCCTGTCAAGAGGTATGTGCCAGTCAGGAGGGAAGAAGCGTATGGGCAGGGCAGGCCTCGGTACATGAAAGGGATTCCTGCAAGCAAGAGGAAGCAATGGGTGACTTCCTGTTAAAACTGCCACAAAGCTATAAACCAGAGGATTCGGGGAATGAAAGGGACTGCTGGATCCAGTCCTAATGAAAGGGACTGCTGGATCCAGTTCACCAAACATTCCAACAGCTCTTCCTCTGCTTTCTTTGTAACACCTGAGATAAGAGAAAACGAACCCCTCAGAAGCCAGCACTTCGCCATTTACTGTGTGCGCGTTTCATTTCCCTCAGCTGGGAAAACATCAGTGACTAGAAAGTGGAGCTGACTGCTAGGAGTTCACCCCATGCCCCTGTCACGTTACTGAATTGGAGGGAAGCAGCCAGATCACTGCTGCACCCATAGGTGGGGTGTTGGCCCCAAAAATGGTATAAAGGGGCCATATGGGGTGTTGAATAGAAGCTCACTGTCTGCTAATCCTAGGTACGCTAGTCATGTGATTGTATAATGTCTGTGTGTGGAGTTAGGAGTCTGTAATCTGTGTGGATACTGAATATTTCCTTGCTTGTGGTTGAGCATTGGGCAGAGCCCGGCCTATGGACATGCTAATTAGTGAGGCCCTGTGGGAAAATGGCACTCAATGAGCCAAGGACACACCTAAAGAATGAGGGCTGACACCTAAGGGCTGCCAGCAAGGAACACAGGGATAGGCCACTGGCCAGGTGACCTGCTGCAGCCAAGAAGAGACCAGGAAGGATGTATAAAGAGGCCATGTGGCGGACTCCATCTTTGTACTCAGCTCAGCAATTCATCCCAGAAGCAGCAGTGCAGGGATCAAAGAGCCGGAAAGAACTGTGGACCCATCCTGATCCTAGGATGCGCAACAAGGAATTTTAAGCCAGCAGTTAAAACATCTCTGCTAGAGCCTGCACCGAGAACTGGGAGATGCGATGCATGTAATGTACTATCCTTTAACAACCTCACTCTCATGCTTTTCTGTATTGCAGTAATAAACCTTTAGATGTTAGATGTTAAAGGATTGGCTCAGCGTGATTTGTGGGTAAGGTCCAGAGGGTAAATTGACCAGGGATCTGTGGCTGGTTTCTTGGAACCGGACAGGACTTGTTCGGGGTAGGTGGGATTGGGTTCTAAGACCCCCCACCGGTGTATGAGGCCTGGGGCCATCTGGGGCATGGATATTGCTGGGGTGCCGGAGGGGTTTTGCTCGGGAGGCTTCAGGCAGGCAGCTGAAGCGCTCTGTGGGACTGGTTTGTGGCCTGTTTGGGAAGGTCACCAGTCTGGGGGCTGTAAGGAGCCCCGAAGTTGAGCAATTCACCCAGAGAGGACGCCCTCAGCTGTGCCCAGACACGGCCCGGTCAGTCACAGCCCCTCACTACGGTACCTCAGCGCTGAGAAAAAGGAATCAGACCAAAACCATCCAGAACTGGCTTGTGGGCTAGTTTTCCTCAAGCAACCAGGACAGTCAGTTTGTTTCCTTTCCTCTCTTATTCTTGCCAACAGGTTTTCTCTCCCGCGCCTGCCTTTCCTCCACCTTCTCTTTTGTTGCGCTCTCATTCCCGCCATTGGAAGGGAAAATGCTGATTTCCACGGAGTCTTGGAGTGCTGGGGAAATAGCATATGGCTGGAGGAAAACCAATGCTGGGCCCATTTTAAAAACGATAAACAGGTTGAGCCAGGGAGTTAGAGACCTGTCAGCCTGATCGTCACCCAGGTAAGATAACAGGGTGGCTACTACGGGACCCTATTAATAAAGAATTAAAAGACGGAAAAATCATTGAGGCAAATCAACACAGGCGTGTGGACAGTAGATCCTGTCACACTATCCTGAGATCACCTTTAGGAAGCACACTTATAGCAGTGCCAATGTAATTTACTTAGACTTCTGTAAAGCATGTGACTTAGTGCCACGCATTTTACTTCAAAAAACGAACCATGTCAAATGAACATGGCCCGTGGGCCCGTGAGAAGAGTCTCAACATGTAACTGATCGAGGGGAGAGGGGAGGGGTATTTCCAAGGAGGTCCCAAGGTTTGGTCCTTGGCCCTGTGCTATTTCACACTGTTCTCAAGAACCTGGCAGAAAAGAGAAAAGTGCCACTAAAGAAGGTTGTTGCTGCCCAAAGATCGGGGCAGGCTGAGCCGTGAGGATAGGGCAGTGACCCAGAGCGCTCGGGTCGCATGGCAAACGGGCGCACACAATCTGCATTTGATCCGGCTCCAGGTGAACGTGTCCCAAAGGAGGCAGGCCACCCTGACAGACCGGGCTGTGCTTGGGGAGCGGGGAGTGACAGACGGGGGTCACGCCCTAGGGAGCGGGGACTGACAGACGGGGGGGTCGTGGCAGATAACTAGCTGACTGCGCACTCCCAGTGGCCATCGGAGCAGATTTGACCTGGGGGCATCCGCGGGGGATCTCGAGTGGGTGCAGCGTGGCTATTTCACCACTGTGCGTGGCCCGGGGTGGCCGCTGCTGGCGTCATGGGGCCAGCTGTGGTGCCCACAAGTCAGAAGGATGTTGATATATTGGAGAGAGCTCAGCGAAGAGCCACAGGGCTGGCTGGAGGGGCAGAAAAGCTGCCTGACAGTGGCAGACTCCCGGAGCTAGATTGTAAGGCCGGGCGGGACCGTTGTTGTCATCTAGTCTGACTCCTTGTGCAGCCCGGGCCACAGAGCTCCTCCGAATCTTCCCCAGGACAGAGCCAGTAGAAAAAACTTCCTGTCTGGTGCCCGTGATGGGGGATCCACTACGCCCCAGGAGCCTGTTCCCATGGTTACCGACTCTCACTATTGAAAATCTCAGCCTTATTTTTAGTCCGAATTTGTCTAGCTTCAGCTTCCAGCCACTGACTCGTGTTAACCCTTTCGCTGCCTGTTGCTAAACAGTTGTTTCCCATCCACTCACATCTCAACAGTCTTTCGTGGAGCGTAGGGCTGACGGGTGATTTGATCTGTCCACAGGTATGTGACAGGGAACAGATATTTCCTAACGGGAGCCTCACTCCAACAGCAAAGGTCTAACCCGAGCCAGCAGCTGGAAGCTGAAGTTAGACAGATGCAGCCAGGCAATACGCTGTATGGGTTTGACAGGGAGGGGAGCTAACCACGAGGAGTAATGGTAGTTCAAATTAGGATCTTTAATTCGAACTCCCTCCTCCGTGCCGTGTGTAGCCGCGGGCACAGAGTTCGGACTAAGGGGGATTTAAAAATAGCGGCGCCCGGGAACATGCAAATGAAGCCTGGGATATTTAAATCCCGGGCTTCATTTGCAACTCCGCTTGCCCTCATTACCCTACCTAGCTTGAACTAACGAGCTAGTGTAGACGTACCCTGACTGAGTTAGGGATGCAAACAGGTGGAACCGGCTGCCGGCTCCCAGCCTTATGGAGGGAAGGGGCAGTGGCGGGAACAGGGGAAGAACTCCTGCCTCCTCCTCCACCATCACCTCCCCACCGCGAGGCTGTTGACGGCCAGTCTGCGTGAGCTGGGAGCCGGCAGCCCCAGAGGCCGCTCCAGCCCGCCTGGAACAGCCCCTCCCCCTGCCCACTCCTGTTTAATTAGTTAACCAGTTACATTTCGCATTTAACTAATTAAACGGGATTTTACATCCCTACTTTGAGTCTGATCTAATCCTTCCAGCCCTGCAGGAAGAGGGCTAAACTCCCACTCTAATAGTTTCCAATCAAGTGGGGAGAAAAAATGAATAATGAAACCATTTCTACGCATACGAGATGCCAGGAAACCTAAAACCAGGACCCAGAGTAACTGATCCAGGGACACCTCCTGCCCTCTGCGCTTTTCAAGTGCTGCATGTCTATTTTCATAGCCCCCGGTGCGTGAAAGGCAAAAAGTAAACGCACAAGCGTGGGAAAGTGTAGGGTTATTATCTACAACCCTTCAGCTTGGGGAGTTTAATGTGTTGCTAACAGCACAGAGAGAGACACAAAGTCTCTTACACACAAGCAGCATCTCAGGCTAAATCCACACTGCACTTTACAGCACTGTAAACTTTGTGAAGCAGGCTACAGTGCTGGGGGCCACGTTCCCAGGGCTGTTAGCTACTCCCCTCATTGAGGGGGTTTACATGGAGCGCTGGGAGAGCGCTCGCCCAGTGCTCCTGCCATGGCCACTGTCAGTTTGGAGCTAAATACGAGTCAACAGTGCGACACTGTTGCAAAAAAAAGCAACCCTGATTCTGGGCGGCATTCACAGGAGTGTTGTGAGCCAGACACGAGAAGTCGTTCTTCCGCTCTACTCTGTGCTGATAAGGGCACAGCTGGAGTGTTGTGTCCACTTCTGGGCACCACATTTCAAGAAAGATGTGGAGAAATTGAAGAGAGTCCAGAGAAGAGCAACAAGAATGATGAAAGGTCCAGAAAACATGACCTGTGAGGGAAGGCTGAAGGAATTGGGTTTGTTTGGTTTAGAAAAGAGAAGACTAACAGGGGATGGGATAGCGATTTTCAAGTATCTAAAATGGTGTCACAGGGAAGAGGGGGGGAAATTGTTCTCCTCGGCCTCTGAGGACAGGACAAGAAGCAATGAGCTTAAACTGCAGCAAGGGAGGTTTAGGTTGGACATTAGGAAAAATTTCCTACCTGCCAGTGTGGTGAAACACTGGAATACATTGCCTGGGGAGGTTGTGGAATCTCCATCACTGGAGATACTCAAGAGCAGGTTGGACAGATGATCTAGAGGACGGTGCCTGGTCCTGCCGAGGGCAGGGGACTGGACTTGATGACTTTTGAGGTCCCTTCCAGTGCGAGGGGCCTATGAAGAAGCTGCTGCAGCTGCGATTTTCACTGCTAAGTGCAGACAGAGCCTCAGCCATGCTCTCCCCCAGAGGAAAAAAACGTTCTCGGAGAGACGAGCCTGCTGGAGTGGGACAGAGTCTATGGAAGGCTCCTGAACCCTGCCTACTGCTCCCCGGCCCCCAAGTGCTGTCCTGCTCCCCCTCCTCCCCAGAGGCTGAGGTCCAGCATGGGGGCCTCACACACCTCCGAGTTCCGTCACACCCGCACAGATGCCATGGACATGAAACAGACCCAATGGGAGTCTGTGCTGTTCAGAGCAGCCCAGAAACCCACAGCTACCGGAGTCCAAAGAGCAGGACTTCCCCGGGCCCCAGGAGGGTGAGGTGGGAGCCCACTGCGGGGCCAGCACAACTGTCTCATTCCATTTCCTCCCGGCAGGAGTTGCCCACCCCATGTTAGCAGAGGCAAGAACAGAGCCATGGATTCGCCTGACCAACCTGATTGCCTTGTGTGACGAGGTAACTGGCTCTGTGGACGTGGGGAAGGGGGTGGGTGTGACAGACCTTGACTTTAGCAAAGCTTGTGATCCGGTCGCCCAAAGATTCTTGCCAGCAAGCTAAGGAAGTCTGGCTTGGATAAATGAACTGTAAAGGTGGCTCGAAAGCTGGACAAATCGTCGAGCTCAGCGGGTCGTGATCAACGGCTCGCTGTCTGGCTGCTAGCAAGCGACGTGCCCCGCATGTCGATCCTGGGACTGGTTTTGTTCAAAAATCTTCATTAATTAGCTGGTTGCATGCGGGGTTGGTTTGTACCCTCAGCAAGTTCACAGCTAACACTAAGCTATAGGGAGAGGTAGATACGCTGGAGGGCAGGGATAGGATCCACAGTGAACTAGACATATTGGTGGATTGGGCCAAAAGAAATCTGATGAGGTTCAAGAAGGACAAGTGTAGAGTCCTGCCCTTGGGGACTGCTACGGGCTGGGGACCGACTGGCCAAGCAGCAGTTCTGCAGAAAAGGCCCTGGGGATGACAGTGGATGAGAAGCTGGATATGAGCCACCAGGGTGCCCTTGTAGCCAAGAAGGCTAACAGCACATTGAGCTGCATTAGGAGGAGCATTGCCAGCAGATCTAGTGAAGAGATTATTCCCCTTTGTTTAGTACTGGTGAGGCCACATCTGGAGTGTTGTGTCCCCCGCTGCAGAAAGGTTGTGGGGAAATGTGAGAGTCCAGCAGAAGGCAACAGAAATGATGAGGGGGCTGGGGCGCATGATGGAGAGGTTGAGGGAACTGGGCTTATTTAGTTTGCAGAAGAGAAGAGAGAGGAGTCGGGGTTGACAGCAACTTTCAACTACAAAGCCAGGCCATTCTCAGTGGTGGCAGAACAAGGAGCAATGGGCTCAAGTGGCAGTGGGGGAGGTCTAGGTTGGATATTAAGAAAAACTATTTCCCTGGGTGGGTGGGGAAGCGCTGGGCTGGGTTTCCTAGGGAGGGGGGGAATCTCCATCTAGAGGTGTTTAAGTCCCAGCTTGACAAAGCCGTGGCTGGGATGATTGAGTTGGGTTGGTCCTGCTTTGAGCAGGGGGTTGGACTCGACGACTCCTGAGGTCTCTTCTGATTCTATGATTCCATGAACCTTGAATAAGTGCCTATAACTAGATGGTAATTGACTTTCTGCCCTACTTCAGCTCCGTTATTCCATGCTCTCGACACAGGCCGAGAACGGCAGACCACACACTTACCACTTGAGAAGAAGCACAAGCGGGTAAAGACGGCGAGCACATAGACGATCGCCAACAAGCCATCCATGAGCCCGTGAGCCTGCAGCAGCAGCGCGGTGGCCAGACCGAACGAAGTGAAGTCAGCAAAATCATCCAACTTGGCACCTGCAGCGAGTGAGAAACAGCAGCTTAGCGACCACGCTGCCTGGTCCCGGCCCCGCAAGCGGCAGGAAGGGGCAGACGGGTGTCCTAAGCTCAGCAGTAACCATGGGGCGAGTCACCCGGCAGGGAACTTCCAGGACTGGACACGGTTAGCACAGCAGCCACTAGTGCAGAGACTAACGGAGCTCCCGCTGTGCCTTGCTTTCAGCCCGTACACCTCTAGACAGGAGGATTTCTGACAGGATTTGGGGCCACCAAAGCTAGTCACGTTCCACATGCAACTAAGGCCCAATTGTGGAAGCGTGATAACAAACCACTGAGCGACTGAGGGAGGTGAGGTGGTGCCTCTCCAGCTTGGGCTCCATGGAGCTAGGCTGTGGCGGGGAAGATGGTCCAGCTTTGGAGGATGGGAAGAGCCTTGTTTTGACTTGGAACTGTCCACTAGGCATGTTTTAAACGGCTCCCTCTTTCTGATGCAACTCCCTTCACCTCCAGAGACCTGCCTCACTGCTTCCGTAGGGCCTCCCTCTGCCAAGGGCGAGAGGACGGAGCCCTGAGGGTAGAGCGAGAAGATGGAGGCTCCCGTCAAAGATTCCTTTTCCCCTGTACTGTATTTCTGACCCATCCGTGATCAAGCAGCCCATCCCCCATGGCCTGAGCTCAGCTACTGCCCTGGGCTTGTTTCCAGTGACGGGGGGAGGTGGGGTGTGTGTGTGAAATCACACAGCCTCCCCGCATGGTTCCCCAAGTAAACATGCTCCCTCCGGCCAGGGGAAGGCAGGGGCTGATCTCCCTGCTTACTTGAGGGACCATGGGGGCGCATTCACACTCTTGCGATCCACATGTACAAAAAAAAGCACCCCCACCCCTGAAATCCCTGCATGCGGGCCTGAGTGAGACACGAGATTTTCTCTCCCTCGAGGCAACTACCAGTGTGAAACGGCCCCAAGGATCCCCTCTCCCCTACCCCCACATCAGCCTTCCCAGAGCCGCCCAAGGTGCTGGCTGGACTGGCCCTGGGCATTTTCAGTCAGTCTTATGGGAAGAGCTGCTGCCACGAGAGGCACCACCTTACTGGCCACGGAGTTTGGCTGTTTCACTTTGCAGCCAGAATGCCAAAGAGGGCACGCTGTGGATTCTACCCCGTGATCCAGAGGAACGCTTTTCCAACCCAGAATCCCCGGCTCAGGAATCCCCAAGGATCCCCTCTCCCCTACCCCCACATCAGCCTTCCCAGAGCCGCCCAAGGTGCTGGCTGGACTGGCCCTGGGCATTTTCAGTCAGTCTTATGGGAAGAGCTGCTGCCACGAGAGGCACCACCTTACTGGCCACGGAGTTTGGCTGTTTCACTTTGCAGCCAGAATGCCAAAGAGGGCACGCTGTGGATTCTACCCCGTGATCCAGAGGAACGCTTTTCCAACCCAGAATCCCCAGCTCAGGAATTCCACGGGCAAACCGCCCCCCAGCCGCCTCCCACAGCGCAGCCTGTGGCAGCAGCCAGAGGGTCTCATGCAAGGAGAGGGCCCCTGCGTAAGGATTACCTGGTGCTTGAAAACGAGCCGCTGTGGGAGAGCAGGACAGCCCGAGGGGTAATTCCCTCCGGAGCCATTTATCCTGCCCCCCTCGGGGATGAGCAGACCTGCTTGTCTCACCTCGTGTTCATTAAGCAGAGCCTGTCTCAAGCCTGCCGGTCTGAGCTTCCGAAGGGCGGGAGGTGGAACTCACCCAGGGCCGAGCAAGCGTTCAGTTGTCTAGCAACCGCCCCATCAGCCAAGTCGAGCAGGAATCCGATCAGGAGCAGCCAGCAGGCGCAGTGGTATTGCCTGGAGGACAGCGGGAGTCAAGGACGTTAGCGTCTCCATGGCGACGTCAGGTGCCGAGGGGCATAACGGGCAACCTGAGCATTTATCGCCAGGGTTGCCTGGAGACAGCCTGAGAAGCTGGAACGTGCATCAGGGCTCACCCCCTCCTGTCCTGCCTTCCACCTCCCCGGGAATGGCTCCCCCCGGAGCCGGCTGCACCTCCTCTGCTTCCGTCACGCAGGCTCGCCTCAAAATGGAGGAGCGAATTCCTCTCTGCGATGTGGCCCAGATGCCAGCTCCGTGGGGGCTCTGCGACTGGAGCCCCCCGGGGGAGAACAGCAGCCCCCTTCTCACACCCCCACCCGGGCATGTGCCCCCCTGCCGGCGGGCCCCACAGCAGCTCCTCGCGGCGAGCAGGAAGCTCTGGAGGAAGGGGAGGAATGAGGCTGTGGCAGGTTCGGGGAAGGGAAGAGGCAACATGGGGCTGGGCCCCTGAGGGAAGGGATAGAGCAGGGGTGAGGCCTGGGGCAGAGCCGGAGGCCGAGTGCCCCCTGGCACTTTGGCAAGTTGGCGCCTGTGGGGGACACAAAGGGCCTGTTCCACATGCAGGCCCACTTGCTGAGGGAGGCGAAGGAGAAGTGGCTGGGATGCCGTGGCCTTCACCACACCCGTGCAGCGTGCCGAAGAGCTTCCCAGAGAGCCCAAGCCGCACACAGGCGCTGTAGGTGCCTCGGCACAGGCACAGCACAACGTCAGCCGCTCCCCAGCTTTTCATTCGCCTGTTGACGTCCCCTCGCTGTACCGCTGGATCTCCGACACTGTTCTTCCAGGGGCCTGGCTGTTTGTATTGAAGCTGTGCCTCTGTCCCGGATGTAAATGGAGGACAGAATTTGGTCCAACGAACAGGATGCGGCTAGCAGGCACAGGGCTGCGGCTTGCAGTGCTCTGGGAGTGACTCTAAGATCTGGCCAAAGCATTCCTCCTTTCACAACCATGGTACCTGTTAATCCCTGGGCGCCGGGCACACCCCTTAGCCCGGCTAGGAGGAGCTGTGTTTGGTTACCGCGGGCAGTGAGGTCTCCAAACTGCGACAGAATCCCGTTCCTTCTCGGAGCATCCTCTCCTGTCGTCACCATCTGCCCAATCGAATTCACTTCACCTCGCGGGAGAACGGGTGCGGTTCTCGTTTCCAAAGCAGAGCGAATGCATTCGCCCCCACAGGCCTCCCATCATCCCAGAGGTTCCGAGGTCTGATTCATAAAAAGGGACTTGCCAAATTCATGGCCATGAGATCTGGTCTCCCCTGCGAAGTCTGGCTACTGTAGGGGGGTCGTGGTACTGCCAGCCTTACTTACGCGCTGCCTTCAGAGCCAGGGGAGAGCAGGGGCTGCCGACTGGGCACTCAGCTCTGAAGGCAGCATGGCCACCAGCAGCTCCGCACAGGAAGGTGCCAGCCTTACTTCAGCACCTGTGCTGGCAGCAGCACTACCTTCAGAGCAGGATGCCGGGCCAGCAGCCATCACTTGTGTGACCCCTTATAATCCTTTTGGGGCAGGACCTCCAGGGTGAGAAACCCTGCAGTGTCTGCGCCCACCCGTGAAATCTGCTCTTTGGGCCATGTGACACCGGCAAAAACATCTGATTTCTCCACCACTCCAACAGACTCCTATTCATAAATGGGCTATTTGGATGCAGACTCCAAACTGCATCCTCTAATACCATTTAGAAACGGTAGTAACAGGTGCTATAGAAATATCCAAAATGGGTACTATTATGTCACCTCCTGCACAATTTTTGTTTGCACCATGGATCAAAATATTTGTACTGTAATTTCATGGGTTTCACTGCACTGCACATCATGAATCCTGGCTCTTAGCAGCAGCCACCCCCTCAGAACTCATCTCCTCCTGTTAATAGACTGCAGTCTCCTACCCCTAGCACTGAAGCACAAATGTTGCCATTGATTTTATGGACTGGTTTTTGTGAAAAACAATCCAAACTCTAGCTGTTGAGGCTGTATCGCTGGGCATCTCCCTTCCCCGCTCACTTTGCTATTTTTAGACAACGTAAATCATGCATTAGGAGCCTCCGTCATGACCACAGTAGAGTCAAGGAAATCTATTTGCACCAGGACCAGATTCATAGTGTGGACTGGAGCCAGCCATACTGGAACCAGACCACATAACGAAGCTGAACCCTGGCACATGACCAAGGCTCCGTTACAGAGCACTCCACCATGAGCCAGACCCTTATCACTGTCCATTTACACGGATGCAAAACCAGCCCTTTTACGACGCTGTAATCACACCTCTGTTTGCAGCAGCAGCCAAGCCTGCAGGAAAGCGAGGGAAAGCAAGAACTACATCTCACTAGGCTGCTTTGCTCCAGAAAAGCGCCTCCCTGTGATTCCTCCTCCTGAACGCAATGCAGTACGCAAGCAATGCCACCCGGAAATAAATCCCGGGCCAGGCACTGCAATGGATTCTACTAAGGGCCATATCAAGCAAACGTCTGGGACAACCAGCGCTTCGCTTATCGGAGCAGAAACAATTCCCCGTTGGACAAGCTGGCGGAGGTTTCAGACCCCAATACCAGCGAGTCTGACCCGAGGCAGACTGGACGTCACACTCCGGAGGCACCTACTCATCCAAGAGCCCAGGGAAAGTTTTTCGCTGGAATGTCCTTACAGGCCAATCTTGAAGAAAAGGCCCCTTTGGCATCCTGCAGAAACTGATGGAAACTCCTACTCATGATATAGTCCCCTGGGCCTGTTTAACCCTCTTCAATCCCTTCTCTGCTTTGTTACCTCATTAGGCCTTTCTTCTTTCCTACTTGCCTTACAATCCCAGTGTTGACTGTTCTACCTGCAGGAGACACCTTGGCAGCTTACGGTATGCCGCATGAGCCCATTCTTTGCCTGGACTGTAAATCAGGACATGTCACTAAGTCGCAAGGGACAGAGGGTATCAATCCGGGCGGGATACAGCACTCGGAAATTCCTTATGCTAACAGCCATCCTTCAACCGCTGTGATAGCCGTCCCCTCGGAGACATCCGGGGACAGAACCACAACCTGGCCCCCTTAGGCCACGCCTACACGAGGCCAGCTGTCCCGTTTTGAATGCACACGTGTTGCTGCCCCCCGTGCACGCTGTGGGCTCCTCGGTCACACGAAAGCCGTCCTGCCGGAAAGAAGGCTGCATTCACCTGCACGATGGTCTCTGGTTTGCAGCAGGTGCATCCCCACAGGGGAGTTAGCAGGCAGGTCTCTGATGCACTCTGCCCTTCACACGCCTGTGGTCCCCAAATGTATTGTGGCCATGACTTGACCCTTCCCCCAGGGGAGCAATTGGAAAGTTTGCCCTTGATTCTAAGGAGGCTCCTCTATCCCTCCCGCCTCCCCTGCAAACCGTGCATCCTTCCCAGGAGATCAGAGTACCTACCCATTGAGGCTGCAGAGGATGGAGGACAGACCCATGATCAGGTTAGCCACAGAGATGGCATTGGCAACATTCTTGCGGACAAACTCCAGAGCCTGGGCTCGGCCTGCTTGCTCGCTCAGGAACAGCTTCTTCACGTGGTGAAAGATGCCTGGAAGCGCAGGGGAGACTGTCAGGGCGGGCAGACCGGTGCTGCTGCCTTCGCGAGAGGAAATCATTCAAGCACAGATCCTTGCCGAACAGGAAAAGCCCAATGGATCAGCGTTGAGTCTACAGTTCAATTCCCCCAGTATCTGTGGAGCCTTTCTAGGGGCCAGTGGAGGGACTCTTGGAGAGGACCAATCATATTGCGTTAACATGGCGCTAGGATTAATGGGAACCCTACTGCAATGTGGCCTGGGACACGTGTTGCTCTTAAAAGGGGCCAGGAGCGTCTTGGCCTTCAGAGGGTTTTCCCCCTTAAATAGAAGTAAAGCCAATGAAACGCTGAATGCCAATCGCAGCCCGGGTTGGGTCTGAAAGAATTGATGGGAAAGGGCTGGAACAGGCACAAGGACTAGCGCCCCTCCCTTTCTCTGCCCTGCAATTAGATCCCTCCTTCAAAAACGTTTGCTTTTGGGGCAGCCTTACGAAGAGGGGAGTTTCCTGCTAGTGGCGTGTAAATTAGTACCTCGGCTTAGGGCTTCCTTTAGCAGCTGTCAGTCTGGCCTGCCAGCCTGGCTGGAGCCCCCCTGCCCCACATGAGAGTCTCTCTCAGGCTATGTCTACACTACACTGATCTATCGGGAAAAGGGACACACGCTGCGTTCTGCAAGCTGCGTGGCTTTTTCCAATCGTTTTTTCGGAAAAGGCTTTTCCGAAATTTGGCCCAAAATTGGGCCAAATGTTGGAAAAGCCTCCTCTTTCAGAAGAGCCCTTCTTCCTCGTGGGAGGAGGAAGACCGGGCTTCCGAAAGACTGTGTCTGCTCTGCCCCGAAAAATGTCAGAAGAGCTGACGCGTTCCCTGGACGCGGCGGAGTTTTTCTGGGATACCTCCCGGTATCCCGGGAAAACCCCGGAGTGTAGACATAGCTCCAGAGGGGCTGTTTTCTAGAAACCACCCAGGCTTCCCAGAGTACGTGTAGGTCCTTTCCAGCCTGACCGCTTCACACTTCGCAATGACTAACACTGCATGTCAGCTCGGCTCCGCTCCCTTGCTCGGCTCTGGCTATTCACAGCTCTAGCATTCGGATGGGCATAGGGACAGGTCCCATTAGCCCCGCTCCCCGGAATAGCACGTTACAGTGGGGAGGAGCGACTGCAGCAATAGGAAGATTTATCTTAGGTAGTAGCCCAGAAGAATTGCTACCTCTATAGCCTTCTTTAATTCATAGGAGGTGACACTCATGCCGGTGCAGGGCACTAGCACAAAGCCGATGCTCCATTGAAGTCAGCAAAAGTGGGCTAAAGTGGAGCACAGGTCTTGTGCTGGCCAAAGTGATGGGAGTTTATGCAAGTTGGTTTTGCAAGAGCTTGGGAAGGGGAGGAAATAAATCACTTGAGTTCTAGGCCGCTGCAGCCACAGATAACATGACAAATGGAAGCAATCCATTCTTCAGCTGCTCAGTTGCCCCATTAGCTTTCATTCACCCCATTCTATAACCACTGCCACAGTTCCACACTTGAATATGCATTTTAAAAAAAGTTTATCAGAAAATTCTTAAAGCCATTTCTACTTTACTCCCCCACACCCACATCCAACCACTACAATAAACATTATTTTTACTTAGGAAAAAAAAAACCAAAAACCAAACTTACAATAAAAACCAACCCCACGTTTTAAGCTCTATTTATCTTATATACCTATAGGGCTACTCTTTAGAGAAAAGGTTAAGGGTCATGTCCTACTAGTGTGTTTTGCACCCTGCCCTTGACGTGTTTCCAAAGCCAGGCAAGTTCATGAGATTCTTCATCTGAAAGAAAACAGCATGTCAGAGCAAAAGCCATCAATGTGAAACGAGTCAGATTGGTGTATATGGCTTTACCGCCCGCCCTTCAAGCCCTCCCCTGGCTCAGACTGGGACAATACAGTAAAAGCCAGTATCTTGCAAGACACAGCTTTATCACGGTTTCACTAGCATGTGCTCTCGTGAAACCACATTTTGGGCCCACATCTGGAGGGATCGTCTGGAGTCAGTCTTACTCTTTTTAAACTCCAGTGACCTGCTTGCTTGCTCGATCCTGGTATCAAAGCACAAGACAGCGTATAATAACTGTTAAACAAAATCCCGTCAAACTTGTAAAGCTGTGTCCATTCTAGGCAAGCTCAGAGGAAGCGAGAGAACTAGTCCACTTAAAATGAATACTTGAGCAGATAAAACATGCACTTGGAGGACTACAAAGAAGACTATTTGCCCCACATTACAAACAGCCCTGTCATTTAGATTAACATAAAACACAGCAAAAAGGTTGTTAGACGAGGGATTATTTACAGCAGTGTATGCATTTGAAATGTTTTATTGATAAAATGCAAACTGAGTGTAAAATGAATGCTCATGAATCACTGAAATGAAATACTGCTTGCTAGAGAGCTGGACTAGTCCTACTAATAAACCTCCCAAGTTGAAAATGTGTTTGGGGCTTGTGGAGAGCAATCAATCACATCCAGTTTTTCAAACAAACTGGCTGAAAAATATTCTGTATGAAATGAAATCTAATGCACAGATTCTTGTAAAGGTCAAATGCTGAACAGCTGAACTATTGGGTTTTTTAACTTTGGTGCCATTTCTGTAGATTGTGTCCACATGTTGAGAGAGCTGTCCCAAGACACCATGGGAAGAGAGGCCAGCAACATACAAGAAACCAAAGTGATTTCCTATGGATTAAATGCATGCTTATTTGTAGATTTGGGATCTAATTTGCCACCCTGCTTTGGCTGCTCTGTACTGTTACAATAATTAAAAGCAGCAATAAACCCATTTCACCAGCTATTTAAACCAAGTTTGCAGGCACTTTGCATCACCACTGCAGCATAAAGGAGCAGCGTGTACTGGTGAAACTGACCCATTATATTTGCAGGGATAAGGCATACTGTTTCTCTCTCTCTCTCTCTCTTTTAATTATGCTGTTGGTGGGAGACAGGCAACAACAATATAGAAATAAGATGTTGCAATGTATAAATGTGCTTTAACTTATCTCAGTAATATAATGACTCCAAATATTACTGTTTCTCAAAGGAATAGAAGGCCACATAAAACGGAAGAAAAGGGCAGGAACAAATGAAAAACATCCTTGCTCTAACTTGTCCATCTTTGTGTTTGGGAACTGAAAACAACAGCCAATGGACAGAAGCCAGTTTCAATCATTCAGTTCAACTGCTCATTTTATTCTCAGGGGCAAAATTAATCTCTGCACAACATCATTGGCTTAACTGGGTGTGTACCAGGCACCAATGCAGTTTGTACGGTACATGTGTCCTGGCATCAGATTCGGTATTTCTGGGGCACTTCTCTGAAAACAGGGATTCTGGGGCTTCAGTCACTGAATCTCAGCCTGGAGCAAAAAGCCACTTCCAACGGCCTTCTTGGACTCTTGAAGACAGGGCCTAGGTAGGACTTCAGTACTGCACAATGCAAGTGGCCCCTCTGTATGTGGGGAGTGTCACCGAGTGTGCTAGGACCCCTTCATTGCAGCCTGCAGAGTATTTACACCCAGTCTGCTTTGTACCCGTTTGCTTTGCTTTATGTTAATTCTCTGCATTTGGTATTTTCCAGCAGGAACCTTCAGCACCGGGACTTGGCTTCCTTTGTCCGTTAGGAGGAAACTTGTTGTCCCTCTCTACTGCGAGGACAGGGCAGCCAAGTTGTAGGACGAGTTGCAAACCACCCCACGCGTGCCATCCCTGGACTGGGTGTCTACCCAGATGAGAGTTCTGTCTTCCCTATGTCAATGGGCAGAAGATTCTCAGGTAATCTTAGGAGGTTTCCTATCTAGATCCTGACCCAGCCGGACCCTATTTAACAACACACCCTGGAGGTGCAACTGTGAGATGGCAGGATACAGTGCATCTTTTATGTGCTAAAATAGTACTTTAAGGGACCAGTTCTCTTCATTCTATCCCAAAACAGTAGTTAACAGCTCCCTAACTTGGTGCAATCAGTGGACATCACCATTCGTGCTGTACCTCTCAAATGGAACATGTGTGATGTTTAAAGACAAGAAAGATTGCTTTGCCTATCAATTATTCCACCAGGCACTAGTATTTAAATTATATACATTATTATTATATAAATTATTTAGGGCTATTGCCTTGACTTTTGGATTCCTATGTAGTGTATTACACATGGAACAGTCACGCCTCTTCCCCTACTCACCAATCACCACCCACCCGATTTTATTTGTTGCTGTCGCTGGAATTCAGCAACTAACACGCAGCCAAATGTGACATTTCAACAAGAGACTCTCACAGAGTCATAAATTTAAAAAATCTAACCACTGAGCTACAGTTTTACGTCTTTACCTTCTTCAGCTGATTTACGCAAAACACTTAAGAAATATATTTAAGGAACAACCCTGATAGGACAACTGTTGTTCCCAGGACCAAAGGGACCTTTCCCAATCTCTATGCCTTTCTGTTACAGTTGAGAGGTAGGCCCAAATGTATTGCAAATGTCATGACAGTGTTTTGTAGTCATACACACAGGTGGCTCCAGCTCATGCTAGAAAATTTCCAGAATGAACCTTGCACGTTTTTTTGCCTAGATGCCATTCCCATGGCAAATCCAAAATTGAAAAACATCCAAGATCTCTGCTGGGACTGTTTTTGTTGGGAGGGTGTGATGTACAACAGCTGTTCTCTCCCGTCACAAGCTTCTTCAGAAGAAACAGAACCGCTGAACGGAATCTGCCAGGCAACTGCTTGCTGGGTGTTTTATTCTACCGCTGATGCTGGCTCACGTTTTATTTATGAGGAAACAGTTATTTTTATAGAGCACGTACAGCAGGGGCTTGACTGTTAATGGCACCCTATTAAAGAGACTCGCAGGCCGGATTTTCCCCTCACTCACACTGGTGTAAATCCACAGTAACGCCACTAATGTCAGTGGAATTACAGCACCGTAGGGGAGATGAGAATCATGCCCCGTGCAGTGCAAAGTGGGTATCAATAAAGGCCACTCCCTTGGGGCATGTCTACACTAGGAAACTCTTTCGAAAGAACCAAAGTCGATGTAATAACTCCCGAAACAACAAAATCGAACAAACATGTCCACAACATGGGAAAGCCTCGAAATGAATCCGAGGCAGGCTCTGTTAACGTAGATGCGCTACCTCGACTTAAAGCCCCAGGAAGCACTGGGGAGTAATTAGTTCGAATGACTCTGGGGAGTCGTTATTTCAAAATAGCGGCACTGGAGTGTCCACATGACTGCTCTTTCAAAATAGCTAATTTTGAAATTAGCGTTATTCCCCAAGAAAAGCAGGAGTGTAGGTTTCGAAATAAAACCAGGCTGTTATTCCGAAATAACGGGCGTGGTGGTGTGGCGGTTCCCCTTATGAATTTGACCTAAAGGGGGTTATTTCAAAATAACTCCCTAGTGTAGACTAAGGATGTCAAGAGGGGGTAACGGATTAATCGTGTGATCGATACAATTTGTATTGACTACATGGTTAGTCAATAAGGGAAGGGCTCTGACCCAGCTTGCACCGGTCCAGGAGCTACCCTGCTGCGGCTCCGCAATGTAAATGCAGTAGGAGCCGGGCATGTAGACAGCCCAGCTCCTATTGCAATTAAATTGCAACACCGCAGTGGGGGTAGGACCCGGACCGGCGCGAGCCTGGACAGAACCGGGACTGCTGTGGCTCTGCATTGTAAATGCAGTAAGAGCCGCCTGGCTTTTCATACGTTTAAAATGCAGAGCCACAGCGGTCCTGCACCGGCACGAGCTGGGACCGAGCTGGGCTTGCTCAGTCCCAACTCACGCCGGGTCCAGCAGCGGGGAGCTGGGATGCCCTGCAGCTAGGGGCTGCTGCAGGAGTAGCCTCTGCCTGTGGCCAGCGTGTTTGTGGTCAACCCTGGCCACCGTGAAGAGAGGCTGCTCCAGGATGCAGAGCAGCCTCTGCCCGCAGCGAGTCTGGGCCCACCATGGGCAGAGGCTGCTTCACAGCAGCCTTCCCTGTCCCTCTGCCCCCCCCTAGAGACAGCAGCACGGGGGGAAGGGCAGGCGGCACCGTGGAGCCAGTGCTGGGGGAAACCGACTTTTAAGCTGGCTCCCCACAGCACCAGCTTCTGTTCCCCCCTGATTCAGAGGCAGCAAGGGAGGGAAAGCAAGGAGTCAACTACTCACATCCCGAGTGTAGACCAGGGCTTACACTCATCTAGGGCCTGGTCTTGCAATCCCGACTCAGGCCAGGCGCCAGCTGACTTCCATGAAGCTCTGCATCAGAAAGTCCAGACAGATCCAGCCTTTGCACACTAGCCCTGGCTAACGCTTGGGATGGATTTCATCCCAGCCCAGAGCAGGGCTACATAAGCTCCGGTACGCCACTCGGCCTCTAGCAAGGGGTCTCGGGCTCTCTGCACTGAGGAGACTTTCACTCCTTATAACCTCATTCCTACAAGATACGTGTGAGAAAACAGAACATCCTCAACCAAAATTCTTGCCTTCGGGAGACGTGTCTTAGAAAAGAGGGCTGGGCAGGGCTGTTACCCAGGTTTTTTGAGTCACTCCATAGGTGCAGGGGAACTCATTAAGACAGGCCGTTAAATAAAGAATTCTAACCCTATTAGAAGTCTGTGCAGTGACATCGATCAAAATCCAGCCTAATTAAAGCACCAAGTAGTCGCACAACTGCCCCTGCTGACACTCTTCAGGTCACAACATCTGGAAAGATGTGTCAGGAAAAAAATAGCAGGGTCCAGTCCTCAGCCCAGCTACAGCGGCCAGCTTGGTGGTCTTCAGTCCTATCACAAGGGAGCCATCTTGAGCGGGGACTGGTGGCTTTCAAGGCGCTTTGACAGATTTGGTCACTAGCTGCTGTCCAACAAAGCAGCCAGCAAGACTAATAATTCCCTAGCTGTAGGAGCCAGACCGTGAGCATGCACAGTATGCCCAAGAATGCCACCGGCTTGCTTGACACCACGACAGGGACTGCACTTCTCTGCTCCCATGGGAGCTCAGCACAATTCTTGGATGGATCTGGACTGGGCCCTCCAGTTGTAGGGCCTGATTCTCATCTCACAGCACGTGCATCCCAAGTCTCACCTCCACTGACCACAGTAGCATGGACGGAAGGGAGAGGAGAATGAGGCCCACAGACTTATGTTGACTCCCTTCGTTAAGTATTTCCTGCCATGTCACAAAGTAGGGACAGACGTTTAGTTTAAATACGCTAAATCTTTACTCCACACGCCCCTTAGATCGGACTCCCTCAGTTTTGCTGGTGTGGATCCAGAATAACCCTGACAGGGTTCCTTGTTCTTCCGGATTTACATCAGCACCCAGAGCCAATCCACTCACTTGAGTTGTCAGAAGAAGGGCTGACGGATGTGGCCCGCAGATGTGTATTTTTGAAACTAACATTTTTATTCCTTTCCCCGTGGTTTTCTTTCAAGTTAAATATCAACGCAGCCCCCTGAGAGTTAAAGCTAAGTTCTTCTGAAGAGCCCTGTCGAGTTAAAGAAAACGCCAAGCCCACTACAAAAGGCGGGGAGGGGGGGTTACTGACCACCTCAGAGCTGCTGCAGACAGGAACGCTCCCCAGCAGACATCTTGGATTTTTACCAGCAGTGAAAACAGAGAAAGGCAGCGACACAAAGATCAGAACCCTGAGGCCCAGCAGTGCGTCTGGCATCACAGAGCCTGCTGCTGACATCAGCAGTCACAGAACCTGGAGAGAGGGGGCTCAAATAGGTTTTTTAAAGCAAGTATGAAACTGGCATTTCTTTACCTTTCTGTTGTAAAAAAGGGATTATCCACTGGCCTCCCGTAAGGCAAGTTTGTTCCACTTTTGAGCAGTGTCTTTCACAATAACCTGTGTACACTTGCATCAACTGTGATTACTTGGGGGAAGGAGGTTAAAACATTCAACGACTGAGTGTGAACTAGCAACATCCCACTCCCCTGTCCACCGGCCTGTTGCCCCAGTCAGACTCCACTGGCTTGAGCGGAGTTACTCCTGGGTTTCGCCTGTGCAACAGGAGGGTCAGGCTCAGTGTGTCCGGCTTGCTGTGAGGCAGCCTCGTGCCCCCAGGTTTAAGGCACAATCCAGCTCCCATTGAGTTCAATCCAGCTCCCAATGGGGGCCGGATCAGATCCTCATGCCTTTGAGCGCACAGGGGTCTCTCTTCTGGAATCAACAGTGCTCAGCAGCAGCCAAAGGTAGGCCAGGCTCCTGTACTTCTGAATCCAGACCAACACTGCTTGAGACGTGAAAATGCCACCGGTTCTTGGAGCAATTCCAGCATGAGCTGTCCAAGCCAATGAGCTCATTACACATGAATTGGCCCAAGACCGACCAAGAAGGCAAATCCACACTAAGTCAGCTGGGTTATAAACAAGACATTGCCTGACCTCTGCCTTTCTACAGAGAATGTCTTCTGGTGGAAACATCCACTTCAGATATTCTTTTCTCTGGGCTTTCAATCTTGAGTTACAAAACAAAATGCTGGCTCAGTAAAATTATACAAAACCTGCTTAGGGGGCCCTGCTGAATCGGACGAAAAATCCTGTCTCTCTCCATCCAGCTAACACTTATCGAGGGCAAGAAAGTGTCTGAAAATGGAAAGAGGGGTCTTTCTTCATGGTACGCCCAGTACTGTGCTAGTGAGCTTCTTGCATGGCTGGCTTATTTTAATCGTGGCATGTTTTAATATGGCTTTTACAAGAGTTGCTTTTTGTGGCTTCCTGCAGGGACTGCTAGACAGAGAGCACACATGCCTCTTCGGATAAACTGAAAACAAGAGGGCCAAGTTCAGATGAGCCACAGCGGAAGAGTCAGAAAGGTGTTTAAAACAACAGAATAGTTCTAGGAGAGGTTGACACCGTATCAAAGTCAAGGTAAATGTAGAAGGAGGGACTCTTCTGGCTGAAATGAATACAGATAGTTCTCATGATTTATACATTGGCAGCTAGAAAAGTCAGTGAGAGGACAGAGTGCAGGGTTTCCCCCAAGACTGTGGGGACAAGTTCCCAGACGTCTGACTACACAACGCCAAATGTCCAACGGAGCGTATGTGGTTCCCCGTGGAGTTAGTTTACAGCTGGTTAAGAGGGGACAAAGGTTTTCAGGAATAGGGATGAACGGGAGGTGCAGAAAATGACATCACCATCCCCTCCTTAGGGCTTGGGGGAAACCCTGACGAGGAAGAGGAGAGCAGTGAGAGCAGTGACGGCTCTAGAAGGCTTTCCAGTGTCCCTGCTGGGCATGCCCAAAGAGGTGCCAAAGGGTGGGGGGGAGAGACATTCAAAGCAGTCTGAGAGCTGCAGCTCCACCTAGAATCATAGAACCATAGAGCTGGAAGAGACCTCAGGTGGTCAAGTCCAGCCCCCTGCTCTAGGCAGGACCAATCCCAACTAAATCAGCCCGGCCAGGGCTTGGTCAAGCCGAGACTTAAACACCTACCTGGAGGCCACCAAGGGCCAGAGTCTCAGCCCATAAAAACAGGAGTTGCTCCAACGACTTTATGCCCCTTGCCCCGCTAGTGGTGGTTTTACAGTTCTAGGAATGGTTGGTGACAAACCCCTCTGACAGATTCTGACCCAGCGTGGGCCTGGGAAGGTAATACTCACGTCCCCTACTCAGCTGTAGACCAGAAGGGACACTTCTCCACTAGCTACAAGGGCACGAAAGTGACTAGCCATGGAGCAGAGGAAACACGGATCATAGTAAGTGGCAGGACCAGAGATTTTGCTCCTTGGAACAAAGTTGCTGCAGCAGTCTCCAGTGAAGATAAAGCAGCGAGCTGCTAGTTTTGTCTCCAGAGAAGCAACTGTTTGTGCTACCAACCCGGAAGGGCGTTCCTGCAAAGGACTGAACGACTGTGTAATAGGGGACCCGCCATATTCTTGATCATCGCCTACGTTTCAAAACACGAGTTATTCTATGGTAGCATCGGAGCTTTATGAGAGCTGGCATGGGCTGGGGCAAAGGTTGAGCATGAGAAGCCCTGGAAACTGTGGTCAGAGTAAATTAAAGTCTCCCACCCTCCCAAATGTGGAGAGCAAAACTCAGACAAGCCAGCATGCTTAGAAGCTACAATCAACACCTTTCTCCATTCAGTTACTGCCATGAAAAGGGACATCGTCAAGGTTGGGGGGCCCAAAGAGCTAACTTGGATTTGCAAACTGCTGCTCAATTCATTTAACAGCTCCATACTTACAGGCTATTTTCTCACATCAGAAAAAACCTGCAAGTCCCCCAGCAGCCAGGCACGCAAGTTTCAAAGAACATGATTCTGCTACTAGAATTTCAGTATCAAGCTCCCAAAGGGTGATTAAATATCAAGAAGAAAAACAGGACTTGGAAATGTCAGCGTCCTTTTAAAGGACAGATTTGCCGTAAAATGTCCCTTTGTCTCCTTCTAACTAGCTTTGCAGGCCTTCAATTAGCTCAGGCCACCAAGCAAAAGCCTTTCAGCAAATTTACTTTTAATCTATGAACGTGCTTCCCCCTGTCTCACCTGTTCAGGAGAGCATGACAGGTGCTGCTTACAATGCAAGGTATCAATTGCCAGCCACAATTAAATGAGACACGTCACACCTCTTCTCCGGTAATGCAGGGAGCTGCATGCCAAGCAGACAGCAGCCTGATTTTCATTCCCTCCCTGCACTACCATCCCCAAAGCCCCTGACTCCCCACTGCCTTGCACCGTGGGCAGGCGTTTCCACCTAGGCCTAGAACACTGCACTCCTCTCTCACATAAGCTAGTGTAAATCAGAAGCAGCCCGTGAAGCGAATGGCCTTCCATGTGTTTGTCACCATGTTAAGTGCGATCAGAAGCAGCGCCACAGGATTTAAACACAATCATGCAGACTGTCCAAGGGGCCAGACCTTGCAATAGGTTTGTTCAGCATCTTCATGCATGGCCCGGATGATGCGTTGTTTTGCACTCTCAGCAAGTTTGCAGATGATGCTAAGCTGGAGGGAGGGCAGGGATCGGGTCCAGAGTGACCTAGACACACTGAAGGACTGGACCAAAAGAAATCTGATGAGGTTCAGCAAGGACAACTGCCGAGTCCTGCCCTTGGGATGGAAGAATCCCAAGCACTGGTACAGGCTGGGGACCGACTGGCTAAGCAGCAGTTCAGCAGAAAAGGACCTGGGGATGACAGTGGGGGAGATACGAGACACCAGTGCGCCCTTGTAGCCAAGGAGGCTAACGACATCTTAGGGTATAATTAGACCTACTGAGACTAAGGGACAGCTCTAACCTGCTCCTGATCCCACTTATCCTGGTTTTACACCAGCAAAGTGCCACCGACCTCACGTGGAGTTTGCTCTGCCCAACATCACCACCAGAGAGAACTCGTCTGGGTTCACGGTCACAAGAATTGTGACGTCCCGGCCCACAGGCCAGCATGGCTGTATTGCTCTCCTGTCATCCTTCTGCAGGGGGGCTTCCCCCGAGATTAACGCCAGAAGCAGGTCTAACCCCATGGAGAATGGTGGCTCTGAGAGACGGGGGATGCTAATCTCATGCTCCAAAGCCAATGTCAGTCGTTCTGCAATCAAGTAAACACGAATTCCTTTGTCTTAGAAATGTAAACCCCTCTCTATTCAGGCTTTAAAGACAGTGTTTCTGCATGACTCAGCTCCATCAAATGCATTCCTTGGCTGGTAGAGGAACCAGTTCCTGCTCCAAAATGCGATCAATCGCCTCTCTAGTTCCAAGCAGATGGACTCCAGTCCTTACCAAGTACAGCACAGCTTGTTCTAGCTCCCTGAAGACTGCATTATGCTATCGGGGGAAAAGGACGGTAGAAAAGAAGCTGTCATCATGTGAGTCAGCTAGATTCTCTCATACGCAGCACCCGGCAGCCTCTATTTTATACCTCAAGTGGAGTGAATATACAAACAGAAGAAGAAAATTGTCGGAGACATTTACAAACTAGCAACATCACACATCCTTGATACTGTAGGGCCCATTCAGGAACGCGTAAAAATCCAACCACGTTCTAGGGCAGCTGCAGAAATGCTAGTTCAGAACCTGCGTTTTCCTACTGTTTCCTCATTACGTGGAGGGGGACATGTGATGGCATAGGGGCTGCTATCCTGGAAGGTAACTGTGATATGGGGGGTTGTTTGGTAATTAGTAGTTACGTGATCATTAAAAAAAAATTAGTTCATTAAAATCAGGTTGTTAAAGTTCAGAAGCAAAGATGGCTCATGCCCAGGAGCGGTTGTATGAAAAGCCTTCTAGAACCACAGACACCAGAGACCAGAGAAGAAAGAGACCCTCAAATCTATGTGAAAAGAACAAACAAACAAACCTCCAGCAACATCAAGGAAGGAACGTTATGGACATCACAGAATCAAACACATTCATGTTAAAAATTACGGACCAAATTCTGCCCTGGGATGCACGTGCACAACACCTAGTGACGTCGGTGCGACTCGCACCCCCCCCTGGCAGGATACATGGATTTGGTGCTTTGGTGAGTCTGTCACATACCGAGACAGAAAAGCCCAACTTGGGCAGACTCTCATGGATTTCAACAGGAGCAGGACTGGGCCCCCCAAATAAGAAACGTGTCAGGCTTACCTTCCAGTCTGCTGGCTCTGCTCCTGGTCAAATCAGCATTCTCGTTGCCTTGGCGGGGGCTGTTATCTTGTGCGCACCAGTGGCGTATTGTGGGGGGGGGGGGAGGTGCCCCTGGGTGCCATGCTAGGAGGGTGCCAATTTAGTCCCCCTCTGCTTCCCTGTCATCCCTCAGCTCGCTTGCTCCTCCTCCGCCTGCCGCCGCTGGCTGGAGCCTCCTCCCCGCCTTCAGCCCGACCTTCCTCCACCTCCGCTGGCAGGTTAGTGCGTGTGGGGGCCCAGCTCCAAACTGGAGGGGGCGGGGGAAGACGCGGTACAAGCTCCCCCTTCCCAGGGTTGGGCTCAGCTGTGCACCAGGTATGGGGCCCTGCCACAGCGGCAGGAGGGACGGGGACGGGATGCAAATGTTGCCTTTGCCCCCGGGCACATATCACTCTCGCTACGCCAGTGCTGCGTGCACACACACAGAGGCGTCTTCCGACAGGTTTGCACATTAAGTGCAATGAAGTCTCCTGCTCTGGGGGTGGCAGGAGCCTTCGGGCACGACTGCCATTAACAAGGGGTCGAGCTTCCCTTTTCTCCACGAAGTACTGACAAGAAGGGGATTGTGTCTGGCTGTTTCATCTCTCCACGCCTTGCACCAGAGTGAGCCCCCTGGCAGCCAGTGCATTGTTAATCACCGCTCACTCGTAAATCTTATGTCCCGTGTCACGTGGCTAACCCTGGTAGGGGCTGGCAGGGCCTTGTAATTCTTCCAGGTGGAGAGGAACACAAGCCCCGGGAACAGGCAGGAAGTGGGGGAGTGGGAAGCATGGAACAGTGATTGCTCTGTGCTTCCTCCCTCTATTCAGCCTCTGTCAGGCATCTACAGGGCTAGGCTCCATGCGGGGCGATGTGGTTTCTGGGGCCAGACACTGTCCACGGCACGTGCCACTTACATTGGTGGATTCTGAGAATCACGCCAGCTTCCCCTCCCCCTTCATTTCCTCTTCTAGCACCACTGGGCTGGGGCAGAGCCGGGGCAGAACGGGGAGCCCCACTTATGCCACAAGCCCAGGATCTGGCAGCTCTGCAGGCAGAATTGCTGAGCCCCAGGGCAAAGGGGGAGACAGGGCAGAAGGGGAGGGCCTGGGGCAGGCCTCTCCCAGGCAGCCCTCCAGTGCAGTAGCAGTAACGGCGAGCGGGAGCGCCGGGCCCTTTTGAACCTTTCCCCACCCCTGTCAATTGGCCTGTCTGCAGGATTTCAGGTGGTAACTCCTTCCCTCTGCTCCAAGGGCAATACAGCCAGAAAGGGCCACCGCGACAGGCAGCACAGCTTGCCAAGAAGGACCAGCAGAGGGTGAAAAGTTTTGACATTCTGACCCCAGTACAAGGGATGAGCAGGAGGTGCACAAAAGCAGTGTTGCCAAATTCCCCTCCCCTCCCCCATCCTTCCAACCAGCTGCAGGAAGTATAGAGCAAGCTTTTAGCTGTCCCTTTGTGGCCTAAAACAAAACCTTCTTTTCTTCCCTCCCTCTCCCCTCCGCGGCCCTAATCAACACACTGTCAGACCTCTGCAATTGAACAGCTTTGCATGATAAATGGAACGTGTGCTCCAGGCTTCCTCTCTGGTTCCCAAGTTGTATGGTTGCTGGTTTGTTTGTTTGTGTTTGCAGTGGAAAAGGGCTCAGATCAGTAGGTCAGTGTGCAACAAAGGAGTAAAACATGCTGGAAGTTGTAATGCAGCACTCACCAGACGGGGGCGACACCATCCACATCTTTGCTGAACGGATAGGAGCTCCTGCCCTCTTCTGCTACTGAAGACTTAATCAAAACAGGTATAGGGAGGTTAGATCATCCTCAGAGCGTCTAGTTATCCTTGCCCAAATTGGAAGGCTCTGCCTGCATCTAAATACACCCACTTTGGGTGTGACTTGGCACCAAAGCAAAACAAAAACCACCTCAAGAAGCGCCATTGGACCAAATACCCACATTCCCTGATGGGCGGCAGTACAAAAGCGCCACACGAGACGGGCGTATCCTGCCTAACTCTACATCTGCGCCGGTCTGCTCCCATGCACTGTACTCACTGCCAGGAAACAGGCTTGCTTCCCGCTGGTAAACAAGCAACGCTCCACTGCAGAGTAGCTGAGAGAAGCAGATTCAATCAGCAAGCAGGAGATGTGCTGGGGCTTAAATCCCAACGATATTCCCTGGGGGAGCAGGATTCCTAACCCAGGGTATGTCTACACTACCCTCCTAGTTCGAACTAGGAGGGTAGCGTAGACATACCCTGAATTAGTATCTTCCTATTCATAGAAGATCAACATAAGTAAAGCTTGGAGTTCATTCAAAAAAAAAAAAGGTGTTTTACATTGAGATTGTTTACTCAAGATAGCTGTCATCTCAATGTAAAACTCTAGTGAAGAAGACAAAGCAAAAGGGAGGTTTTACTTTGATTTTGCTAGACAAGGTCAATGTCAGACCCTCTTACCTTGGCTTTACCTCGGCTGGGTACATTAAAGTAAAAAAAACTAGACTCAGACTAGTGCACTATGGCAATGACTCTGAAAGCAAGAGCGGTGCTCCTGCAATCTGCGTAGACGAGGGAGAACCCCTGAGATCTGAAAGCCAGTTTACTAGGTTTGGAAACAGACCAGCCAAGGAAGAAACGCCCTTTTCCTCTTACACAGAGGGAAACCTGCTACTGCGTCTGGCCGTTGAGGGGCATAGATGGACTCAGGTCTCTTCCAGCCCTAGGATTCTGTGATAAAAGTGAAATTTGCTAAAAGGCCCTGTTCAAAAATCAAGGGTTAAACTGTGAAGAAAAGTTTACCTTCTGCTGGATCATAGAATCCCAGGGACGGCAGAGACCTCTGGAGCCATCGAGTCCAACCCCCTGCCCAAAGCAGGACCAACCCCAACTCAATCATCCGACCCAGGGCTTGGTCAAGCCGGGACTTAAAAACCTCCAGGGATGGAGATTCCACCCTCTCCCTAGGGAACCCAGCCCAGCGCTTCCCCACCCTCCTAGGGAAAGTTTTTCCTAATGTCCAATTTAGACCTCCCCCACTGTAGCTTGAGACCATTGCTCCTCGTTCTGCCATTTGCCACCACTGAGAACACTGGCAGGGCTGTCCCTCCCAATGCCAGTGCCTGCCCAGCCCAGTGCCAGCACTCCCTGCAGGGGGAGGTTCTGCAGTGGCAGAAGTTGTGGGGGGTCAGGGTGTAGCTCACAGTCCAGGAGTGGACGGGCCAGATGTCACTTGCTGCACTGGCATCTGGTCCGTCCAGGACAGCAGGCAACCCTGGAGCAGGGCAGGGAGGGAAGATCACCGGCAGCCTCCAGGCAATAGGTGGGAGGCGCAGGCGGCACAGGCACAGGCCAAAGGAGCAGGGGGCGGCCACGCAGCCGGCCGGAGAGAAGTGGCACTTTGAAGGGGAAACCGCCACTTCTCTCCAGCCACCAGCTGCGCACCTGCCCTCTGCCCCTCCTGAGCCTCCTGCCCCCCTTGGTGGGGGCTGGGCACGGCCCGCGGAGGCTGGGGTAACAGATGGGTATGGGGACCACTGGAGCCAGCAGCCGTCCCTAGGCAGGTGCAGGTGCCTGCGCAGCTGCGTGTGCTGCATGTACCTAAGGATGCCTCTGCTCTTTGGACCCCCTTCAGGGAGCCGAAGGCTGCTCTCAAATCCCCCTCACTCTTCTCTTCTGCAGCCTAACTCATCCCAGTTCCCTCAGCCTCTCCTTGTAGGTCATGTGCCCCAGCCCCCTAGTCATCTTCCTTGTCCTCTGCTGGACCCTCTCCAATGTGTCCACGTCCTTTCTGTACCAGGGGGCTCAGCTTTGGACACAGTACTCCAGACACGGCCTCCCCAGTGCCGCATAGAGAGGAGGAATCCCGACCCTCCATCTGCTGGCAACGCTCCTCCTAACGCAGCCCCAACTGCTGACACTGGCAGGACCAGGCACCATCCTCTAGACCATCCCTGGCAGGTGTCTGTCCAACCTGCTCTTCAATATCTCCAGAGATGGGGATTCCACAACCCCCCTGGGCAATTTATTCCAGTGTGTAACCAGCAGGACAAGCAGGAAGTTTTTCCTAATGTCCAACCTAAATCTCCCTTGCTGCAGTTTAAGCCCATTGCTTCTTGTCCTGTCCTCAGAGGCCAAGGAGAACAATTCCCCCCCGCCCCCTTGTGACACCATTTTAGATACTTAAAAACTGCTCTCATGTCCTCTCTCAGGCTTCTCCTTTCCAAACTGAACAAGCCCAATTCTTTGAGTCTTCACTCATAGGATGCAGGGGCCAAGAGAGGCAGTGGGGGCCAGGGACTGGGGAGATGGGAGGGTTAGGGGAGGGAGTAGGGGCCAGGGACTGAGGAGATGGGAGGGTTAGGGGAGGGAGTAGGGGCCAGGGACTGAGGAGATGGGAGGGTTAGGGGAGGGAGTAGGGGCCAGGGACTGAGGAGATGGGAGGGTTAGGGGAGGGAGTAGGGGCCAGGGACTGAGGAGATGGGAGGGTTAGGGGAGGGAGTAGGGGCCAGGGACTGAGGAGATGGGAGGGTTAGGGGAGGGAGTAGGGGCCAGGGACTGAGGAGATGGGAGGGTTAGGGGAGGGAGTAGGGGCCAGGGACTGAGGAGATGGGAGGGTTAGGGGAGGGAGTAGGGGCCAGGGACTGAGGAGATGGGAGGGTTAGGGGAGGGAGTAGGGGCCAGGGACTGAGGAGATGGGAGGGTTAGGGGAGGGAGTAGGGGCCAGGGACTGAGGAGATGGGAGGGTTAGGGGAGGGAGTAGGGGCCAGGGACTGAGGAGATGGGAGGGTTAGGGGAGGGAGTAGGGGCCAGGGACTGAGGAGATGGGAGGGTTAGGGGAGGGAGTAGGGGCCAGGGACTGAGGAGATGGGAGGGTTAGGGGAGGGAGTAGGGGCCAGGGACTGAGGAGATGGGAGGGTTAGGGGAGGGAGTAGGGGCCAGGGACTGAGGAGATGGGAGGGTTAGGGGAGGGAGTAGGGGCCAGGGACTGAGGAGATGGGAGGGTTAGGGGAGGGAGTAGGGGCCAGGGACTGAGGAGATGGGAGGGTTAGGGGAGGGAGTAGGGGCCAGGGACTGAGGAGATGGGAGGGTTAGGGGAGGGAGTAGGGGCCAGGGACTGAGGAGATGGGAGGGTTAGGGGAGGGAGTAGGGGCCAGGGACTGAGGAGATGGGAGGGTTAGGGGAGGGAGTAGGGGCCAGGGACTGAGGAGATGGGAGGGTTAGGGGAGGGAGTAGGGGCCAGGGACTGAGGAGATGGGAGGGTTAGGGGAGGGAGTAGGGGCCAGGGACTGAGGAGATGGGAGGGTTAGGGGAGGGAGTAGGGGCCAGGGACTGAGGAGATGGGAGGGTTAGGGGAGGGAGTAGGGGCCAGGGACTGAGGAGATGGGAGGGTTAGGGGAGGGAGTAGGGGCCAGGGACTGAGGAGATGGGAGGGTTAGGGGAGGGAGTAGGGGCCAGGGACTGAGGAGATGGGAGGGTTAGGGGAGGGAGTAGGGGCCAGGGACTGAGGAGATGGGAGGGTTAGGGGAGGGAGTAGGGGCCAGGGACTGAGGAGATGGGAGGGTTAGGGGAGGGAGTAGGGGCCAGGGACTGAGGAGATGGGAGGGTTAGGGGAGGGAGTAGGGGCCAGGGACTGAGGAGATGGGAGGGTTAGGGGAGGGAGTAGGGGCCAGGGACTGAGGAGATGGGAGGGTTAGGGGAGGGAGTAGGGGCCAGGGACTGAGGAGATGGGAGGGTTAGGGGAGGGAGTAGGGGCCAGGGACTGAGGAGATGGGAGGGTTAGGGGAGGGAGTAGGGGCCAGGGACTGAGGAGATGGGAGGGTTAGGGGAGGGAGTAGGGGCCAGGGACTGAGGAGATGGGAGGGTTAGGGGAGGGAGTAGGGGCCAGGGACTGAGGAGATGGGAGGGTTAGGGGAGGGAGTAGGGGCCAGGGACTGAGGAGATGGGAGGGTTAGGGGAGGGAGTAGGGGCCAGGGACTGAGGAGATGGGAGGGTTAGGGGAGGGAGTAGGGGCCAGGGACTGAGGAGATGGGGGGGTTAGGGGAGGTAGTAGGTTCCAGGGACACCAAAGTACAAGTTTGCCTCGGGTGCTATTTTCCTTGAGGTCAGCCCTGGATCCTACCCCCTGCCACTTGCACTCTGGGGAAGGCCTGGGGAGAGCAGGCCCATCTCTCCGCGTCCCTGCAGCAGAAGGGTAGGCTGGCTCCTCCCCACGGTCTCAGCCTTTCAGGAGCGGATGCAGGCGAAGGGAAGGAATGCAGGCTGCCTCCCCACTCCCCTCCCTTGCCAGGCCGGAGAAGGCGGGTGACTCCCTGTACACACGCATGGGGCACAGTGGGGCATGGAGGGGGACTGTTGGCACCGGACACAGCTTTTCGGTAGTGGCGGGGGCGGGGGCGCAGCTGAGCTGGGGCTGGGCGTGGGAGGGGCTCTGTTCAGCTCAAATTTGGGGTCATTCAGAGCTGCTGTTAGGAACGTCATCGTGTTCCCTCCACCTCCGCCCCCGACCTTGTCAGGTAAACAACTCGCAAGTGCTGGTCCCTCTCACTCCCAGAGCAGGAGCAGGCCTTTGTCACCTAAACCCTGCTCCTAAATCCTTTAGAGCAACATCGTCCATCCCACAAGCACCACTCCCTTTGCACGATGCACCTCGCAAAGCCAGGGCTTGCCCCCCGCCCGGCAAAGCCAGGGCCCGGCCCCCATCCCGCAAAGCCAGGGCCCGGCCCCCATCCCGCAAAGCCAGGGCCCGGCCCCCATCCCGCAAAGCCAGGGCCCGGCCCCCCCACCACTCGAGTGGGAGAACAGCAGCCCTGGCAACAGACCCAGGCCCCTGGCACTTAGGGACCAAAGTTATCTTGTTTACAAATCACAGCAGCTCCTGCTCTTTGGCCTCTACAACCCGAGAAATCTCTACCCAGAGCCTGTCCCTGGAGGGAGCCGGGAAAGCAGGAGCTGGTTGTGCAACCTGTGCCCATCTTGGCTAACCTCCTCACACAGACCTGACACTCCTCCTTTCCTAAGGATCAATCTGCCAGTGAGATTCAAAGACACACACACCTTCTCCTTTCCTCCGGGAAGGCTCCCGCAATGGAGAACAAGAAGCAAGTTCCATACACAGAGGCAGTCGGCCCCCCCAAGGCATGACAGCAAGTAGCTACAATCTGGGCTATTAATATCGTCTGCAGGCAAAGCCACCCTAATGCTGCCCCAAGGCTGGGGGAGATGAGACTGCAAGGAAGAAACACTGCGCAGCCACCTGGCTTCTGGGGAGAACGGCGACATTCTCAGAAACCACTAGCGACCCTCTCAGCTACCTTTGTGTGAATCAGGGCGACACCACCACAGTCACTAGTTAAGGGAGAGGAGAATTAGCCAGCTCGCAGAGGAAGAGAACTTTGCTCGCCTGGAAGGTTTTACTGCGATGCTGATAGCCTCCCGGCTACTCCTGACTGACACCGCTGACCCTAATACATTTAAAGCGCGGTCCACAAACACAGACCCACCCCCGTGGTACTGCTTTTCGAGATGGGAAACTGAGGCACAGAGCAGTGACTTACCCAATCCAGAGTCAGAGACAGGGTTAGAATGAAGCGTGTCTTCGCTCCCAGCCTTGTGCTGAAAATACTAGCCTGACGCACTTCTTTATTTTATAACCAATCCCCTTCTCATAAACCACACGTGTCAACGAACAGGGCAGGGCCAATTCACAGCACAGAATGTTTTGCAACAGAGACCGGCTTAGTGGAGTGGGAGGAGACTTGCAGATCCCAGCAGAGTGAGGGCTGGACCAGGGTTTACAGCCTCCCACAAGGAGGCAGGGCAAGCAGCTGGAGCTGCAGGAGTGGCAAGACCCTGGTGGACGGAGACGGTGGGTATGTTTATGCCGTAAGTGCCACAGAGGCACAGCCCCTGCACTGCCACCCAGCTCCATCTGCACAGAGGATGAGGCTGACCAACTACACTGACTGATGAGGAGAGGCTGAGGGATTTGGGCTTATTTAGTCTGCAGAAGAGAAGAGCGAGGGGGGATTTGATAGCAGCCTGCAACTCCCTGAAGGGGGGTCCAGAGAGGCTGGAGAGAGGCTGTTCTCAGTGGTGGCAGATGACAGACGAGGAGCAATGGTCTCAAGTGGCAGTGGGGAAGGTCTAGGTTGGATATTAGGAAAAACTATTTCAATGGGAGGGTGATGAAGCACTGGAATGGGTTACCTAGGGAGGTGGTGGAATCTCCATCCCTAGAGGTTTTTAAGTCTCAGCTTGACAAAGCCCTGGCTGGGATGATTTAGTTGGAATTGGTTCTGCTTTGGGCAGGGGGCAAGACTTGATGACCTTATGATTGCACATCCCCTGAAGTTTTCCTAGCCTGGAGCAATGGAGCTGGGCCAGCCTTGGTTTTGGGGGTAGCTTTAGGAAGTGTCATTTTAGGCCTTGTCTGCATCATGGAATGCCCCCCCAGCACAGCCTGGCCCTTAGAGCTGCTCTAAGCCATGAACTCTCCTGTCACCACTAGACTGCGGCGTGATGGGGCGGGGGAGGGGGACACCAGAGGTAGCCCGAAAAAACTCCTCTGCATCCAGGGAACACGTTTGCTCTTCCACTTTCTTTTTGGCAGAAAGGCTAACGCGCTCTTTCCGAAGCCCCTGTATTCCTCGTTCCACAAGGAAGAAGGGGGCTTTCGAAAGAGGGTTTTTTTCCAAAATTTGGCCCAGTCTAGATGGGCCAAATTTCAGAAAAGCCTCTTCCGACAAAAGTATCAGAAAAAGATACGCAAAAGGCAGAGCGCATTTTGCGCATCTTTTTCCGATAGATCCTCACAGTCTAAACATACCCTCAGTGTCCCGAGAGCGCTCTCTCCCGCTGGTATAATTAAACCACCCCGCAGAGCGACTGTAGCTCCCTCGGCAGCACCTTCCACGCCTGTGCCTCTGCTGATAAACCTCTGTTGTGTGGAGGGTGGGAGTTTCTTCACAACCCCCCTGAATGACCCAAGTTTTGCCAGCCAAAGGAGCCAAAGCATTTGGAGTCCGTGCCGGGCACAGGCAGGGAAAGTGTCCCTGTGTCAGGGAGATGGGCAGGGCCGGGCCAGCTTTGGACGCTGAGTTTTGGTGGGAGCTGGAAGGAGGGTTCCCCAGGGACTGAGATAAAACCCTTCAGAGATCAGGGTGAGGAAGAACTTGGCACAAAGGCAAAACAAGGCCCTCGCGGTCACTCAGTTCCCATGACCACTAGGGGACCACGTGATGCCTGAGGAAAGCGGGAGACGGAAAGGGCTGCAGAGAGGGCACTGGCTGGACAGGACCGTGGTGGCTGAAGGCGTGGCATGCCACGGCTGAGGGGGGCAAGAGGGATGAGGGGCAACTGGCTGTGGTTGGGGGGCCTAAGGCAATGGTGACAGGCTGCAACTGGAGATGAGGCTAAGTGGGGTGACAGTGAGAAAGGCTGCAGCCAGGTGGAGGCAGGCTCGGGAGCTCGGGGGATATTGGAGTGAGGTGGGGCAGGACATAGGTGCTGGGCTGGGGAGTTAAAGTGATGGGGTGGGACCGCGGCAAGGCTGGGGGATTGGGATGATGAGGGCACGACAGGCTGCTGAGTTCGGGGCCTGGGGTGATGGAAGGAGAACGGGGTTGCAGGACGCAAGTTGGGGTGATGGGCAGAGAACGGGTGCAGGATGCAGGTTGGGGGTGATGGGCGGAGAAGGGGGTGCAGGACTCAGGTTGGGGTGACAGAAGGACAATAGGGGTGCAGGACTGGGTTGGGGTGATGGGCGGAGAACAGGGGTACAGGACTCAGGTTGGGGGTGACAGAAGGACAATAGGGGTGCAGGACCGGGTTGGGGTGATGGGCGGAGAACGGGGGTACAGGACTCAGGTTGGGGGTGACAGAAGGACAATAGGGGTGCAGGACCGGGTTGGGGTGATGGGCGGAGAACGGGGGTACAGGACTCAGGTTGGGGGTGACAGAAGGACAATAGGGGTGCAGGACCGGGTTGGGGTGATGGGCGGAGAACGGGGGTACAGGACTCAGGTTGGGGGTGACAGAAGGACAATAGGGGTGCAGGACCGGGTTGGGGTGATGGGCGGAGAACGGGGGTACAGGACTCAGGTTGGGGGTGACAGAAGGACAATAGGGGTGCAGGACCGGGTTGGGGTGATGGGCGGAGAACGGGGGTACAGGACTCAGGTTGGGGGTGACAGAAGGACAATAGGGGTGCAGGACCGGGTTGGGGTGATGGGCGGAGAACGGGGGTACAGGACTCAGGTTGGGGGTGACAGAAGGACAATAGGGGTGCAGGACCGGGTTGGGGTGATGGGCGGAGAACGGGGGTACAGGACTCAGGTTGGGGGTGACAGAAGGACAATAGGGGTGCAGGACCGGGTTGGGGTGATGGGCGGAGAACGGGGGTACAGGACTCAGGTTGGGGGTGACAGAAGGACAATAGGGGTGCAGGACCGGGTTGGGGTGATGGGCGGAGAACGGGGGTACAGGACTCAGGTTGGGGGTGACAGAAGGACAATAGGGGTGCAGGACCGGGTTGGGGTGATGGGCGGAGAACGGGGGTACAGGACTCAGGTTGGGGGTGACAGAAGGACAATAGGGGTGCAGGACCGGGTTGGGGTGATGGGCGGAGAACGGGGGTACAGGACTCAGGTTGGGGGTGACAGAAGGACAATAGGGGTGCAGGACCGGGTTGGGGTGATGGGCGGAGAACGGGGGTACAGGACTCAGGTTGGGGGTGACAGAAGGACAATAGGGGTGCAGGACCGGGTTGGGGTGATGGGCGGAGAACGGGGGTACAGGACTCAGGTTGGGGGTGACAGAAGGACAATAGGGGTGCAGGACCGGGTTGGGGTGATGGGCGGAGAACGGGGGTACAGGACTCAGGTTGGGGGTGACAGAAGGACAATAGGGGTGCAGGACCGGGTTGGGGTGATGGGCGGAGAACGGGGGTACAGGACTCAGGTTGGGGGTGACAGAAGGACAATAGGGGTGCAGGACCGGGTTGGGGTGATGGGCGGAGAACGGGGGTACAGGACTCAGGTTGGGGGTGACAGAAGGACAATAGGGGTGCAGGACCGGGTTGGGGTGATGGGCGGAGAACGGGGGTACAGGACTCAGGTTGGGGGTGACAGAAGGACAATAGGGGTGCAGGACCGGGTTGGGGTGATGGGCGGAGAACGGGGGTACAGGACTCAGGTTGGGGGTGACAGAAGGACAATAGGGGTGCAGGACCGGGCCACCGCCACAGCGGCCTCCTGCATCTCTCCTGCCTAGGCCCCTGGACACCCGCACCATGCCCTGTTGAGAGCCCCGAATCACCTATTGTACCAACGACAGCCCATCTACACCCCTGCCATACTGCCCCAAGCAACCCCCATAGGTCCTCCCCTTACAGTTCCCCAGGTCTCTGTACACCCCTATGCTGCCCCAAACAGCCTGTTCTCTCTCCAGGAGCCCCCTTTATCTGCACCGTATCAACCCCAGTAGTCCCCTATACCTCCCTGTATCTTGCCCTCAAGTACTCCCCTACTGTCCCATCCCACCCCCAGGAGCCTGCCGTATTGTTCCCATACTCTACAACCCTCAACAACTCATTGCCCAATCTCCATTTAATCCCCATCCTGCCCCAGCATCTCCTTATACACCCTCCCCCAACCTCCATCCCCCCAACCCACAGCCTTTTTATGCACAAAGGGGAGTGTCAGCATTGCAGTGCCCAACTTTTAGGGGCCTTGCTCTTTGTGGAAGCCACAGCCCCTAATTGGGCACCTGGACACTGCATGGGGAGAGTTAAGGAGGCTGCCTGGACACTGCATGAGGAGAGTTAAGGAGGCTGGCTGGGCACTGAATAGGGAGAGTTAAGGAGGCTGGCTGGGCACTGCATGGGGAGAGTTAAGGAGGCTGCCTGGACACTGCATGAGGAGAGTTAAGGAGGCTGGCTGGGCACTGAATAGGGAGAGTTAAGGAGGCTGCCTGGGCACTGCATGGGAAGAGTTAAGGAGGCTGATTGGACACTGCATGGGAAGAATTAAGGAGGCTGCCTCGGCACTGAATAGGGAGAGTTAAGGAGGCTGCTTGGACACTGCATGGGGAGAGTTAAGGAGGCTGATTGGACACTGCATGGGAAGAATTAAGGAGGCTGCTTGGGCACTGCATGGGGAGAATTAAGGAGGCTGATTGGACACTGCATGGGGAGAGTTAAGGAGGCTGCCTGGGAACTGCATGGGGAGAGTTAAGGAGGCTGATTGGACACTGCATGGG